GTCCTTAGTTAGTGACTGAACTCATTTCAGGTCCATCCACCATGTGTTTATCTTATGTGCAATCCATGTGCAATCTATAAACAGAACAAGTGTGAGGTTGACGCGCACATCTGAATCGGAGTAGCGAGCAAAAAGAAATTAGTACAATGAAAAAATGACTCTACACATCTTTAGCTCACCGTCTTGTGCTGCTAAATAAAATGAAAAATAATCCCTTGGGAGCTTAAGCTGTGCAGAGTCAACTCAATCACCTGGTCACCTCCTCCGGGCTCGCTCTGGTCCTCGTTACCTCTGCACCAGCTGCATCTGCGCAGGCTAAGTTATGACATCTAATCCATCTAATTGTTGAGTTTCATATAATGGACCCCCAGTCTGCTTTGGAACTAATTCTGTCTGGGCATTCTATTTAAATCTGGGCCCTAAGCTCCTCTGAAGGCAGCCCCCCCAGCCCCCCCCCCCCCCCCCAGCCGACCCCCAAACCTCCCCCACCACCACCACCTCTGCTTAAGACCGTAAACTTCTTATCGTCTCCTCCTCCACCTCCAGAACACTGGCTGACTTGTGCTGTGGAGTGATTCCTCAACAGTCCATAAAACATTCTTCTGACGTTTTGGACATCCCCCCCCCCCCTTCCCTACTCCCAATGATCCAGGATAATAGCAGCGCAGCTATCCCGAGGAGAAAGGCCCGGTACAGCAGCTCACCGCGGCGAACGGCCAGCCCGGATCAAGACGTGGAAAGGCATGAAATGAAATGGAAATTGGGATGCGCTTTTGTGACGGTGGAAACGGTCTTGACAGGGTCGTGTGGACGGCCAGATCGTTGCGAATCCTGTCTTTCTGAACATTGTGAAGCGCTTTGGGTGTCCTCGGTCTGTCAGAATGCGCTATATAATTAAACGTTACTGACTGTCTTACTGATCGCAGAGTAAGAAATCCAACAGAAGGAATATTGTGAGCTCCTCTCTCTCTAAGTCTTGAAATAAAATAGTTGGATGTTTGATTGAAGAGTTTATTTGCCATTTGCAGTAAAACCACATTGGAATAACTGTGCAAGACTGCCCCAGTGTGCACCAGAGTTGGGGTTCAAAGCTTTTGATATAATTATGACTATTTATGATTTTAAAGCCTGGTGCGACTGTCTCTACCCGTTTTTTTTTTATCATTTGAAATGGGACAGAGCACATTTCACATAATTCAGCTAAATGTGCCCCAGTTAGCTAAATTAAGCTAATTACCATTGGTAGTCCCGTGGGCAGATGTTAAGGCCAGCCTAAAAATAAAAAATAAACAAATTAAAAACACAATTCAATTTACAAATAGTTTGGTGCAGCACTTTGAGTTGCCTTGTGGATGATTTTTGCTATACAAAAAAACTCGCCTTGCCTTAATATCCCCAACAAAAACAACACAACACTTACAGTACTTGCTGGATTATAACTTGCTTCCGTGAAACCTGCGGCCTATAGTGATGCAGCCAGAGTAAGTATTTTAAGCAAAGGGTTAGAGGCCCCAGTTTACATAAAAAATAGTGTAAAAGACCAAGGTATATGGGCTTGTTCAAAAGTGTGACAAAAGGCCAAAAATTAGATTTTAATAATCAGAAGATATTTTATGTTTTTCATGTTTCCAAACACCTCCTCTGTCCTTTAGAAGTTTCTAGAACAGTTTTATACAATAGACAAGTTTCCTAAAGCGGCCCTGTTTATTTTATGTAACGGACGATGATTTGACGGAATGAGCTGCGGAAGTTTGATGGTATTTTCAGATGTCCACATTTGATTCAGAGATTTTATTTTTTTACACAAAGTAGATGCAAAGTGATACTTTCATATTGTCAAGCAATTAAATGTGAAAACAGACCAGATTTTTTTTTCTCAAGTTTAATTTTTAGAGAAAAGAGGACCGTCCTCATCACGTCCGTTATACATTTTTCAGGGGTCATTTAATTAATTATTATTATTTTTATTTTTTTTCACGATTCCTTTTTAAATCAAGTGATTTCCTTCTGTTGTGTTAACCATGTAAATCTTGTGGGATTTCATCTTCTGCTTTTTCAGACTGAGGACATTTTATTTTCTATGTTACTGGCGTCACAGTAGAATGGTCCAATCAGAGACTAATTTGGTCGTTTAAAATGTTGCTAAACAATTTTATGTCAATCTTTCCTTTAGATTTTTTCCACACTATCTCTTCAATGTGTCTGTGTTTGAAATCATTCTTCCAATCTATGAAAGTAATTTTAGTTTTTAAGTTATAACCTTTTAAAGTCCAGATACTTCAATTGTCACTTTACTGTGAACACACTCATATATATAAAAAATAAGGTTAGAGGCCCCAGTTTACATAAAAAATGGGTGTAGAGGCCTCAGTATATATATAAAAAAGGTTTAGAGGTCCTAGTATACATCAGAAAGAGGATTATGGGCCCCAATATACAATAAAATTAGAGTTAGAAGCTCCAGTATACATATAAAAATAAGGTTAGAGGATCGAGTTTACATAAAACAAAGGGTTAGAGGCCTCTGTCAGAAAAAAACCTACATTCATAATTAAATCGCATGGTGTATTCCTTCTTTTTAATGCACTGTGATTATTTATGATTTCAAGGCCTTGTGTATGAACTGTGCTACACAAATAAACTTGCCTGGCTGTTTTTCTAAGGTGCCAGCAGAGCACAGGAACAGATCTGCTGCTGATCTGCAGCACATTCCTGCTTCAGTGTGTTTATGTGAACCGCAGAGAGACATGACTTGTTTATGTGATTAGGGCTGTAGTCAGAACAGAGTTGATGGACTTCACACAGTATTATTACAACGTTATTGTCAAAATAGACTGGATTTACACACTAAGAAGTCCACAACAAATGCCATATATATATATATATATTTTTTTTATTTTTATTTCTCATAAAACAAGACCAGAACAGTTGAATCATTTAAAAATAATTAATTAGATCCACAAGGGAAATTGCGTTGTCACAGTAGCGATCAGAGTCCAGACAGAGACCAGAGATATCAGAATTAAGTAAAAAATATCAAAATTTAGCATGCAATAGAAGAAAGAATAAGGTAAGAAATCTCCAACTTTACCATTTAAAATAAGCAAGAATTTAGTCCTGTAATAATAATAATTATTATTATTATTATAAAAATAATAAAAAATAATAATAATGATAATAATAATAAAAATGATAATGATAAAAATAATGATAATAATAATAATAAAATAATAATGATGATAATAACAATAATAATAATACTAATGAAAATAATAAAAATGATAATAATAATAATAAAATTAATAATAATGATGATAATAATAATAATAATACTAATGATAATGATAATGATGATAATAATAATATAATAGTAGTAGAAGTAGTAGTAACTGTATTTCACCATAAAAAATAACTAAGTAACAATCTAAAAATAAGTATATGAATGTGACACTATCAAATACAGAGATCACATTTTCCGTGTTTCCTGCTGGTTGGTTTGTGAGTCTGAATGGTGATAATCCCGGTTGGTAAATCCCATGCATTTAGACATATTATGCCAAGCCTTAAGGCCCCATTGTGGCCCCTGCTGCGCCGCTGTCTGAGCCCCCCACTGGGAAAACAATGCCTCCATTCAGGGAGACTTGCTCCGACCAACCGGCGATTTCAGGTGCGAATTGGCTAAGTAACAAGCGGCTTATATGAAATGAACTGCAGCGTGACCTCACATGGTTCCAAGGCCACAAGCCGCAACAAATATTTAGCTGTTACCACGCAAAACGGGTAAAGAGAGGGAAGGCACCGCCAGATAGGATGGATGTGCGCAGTGTTTGGTAATCTATAGAGAGAAAGAGAGACCAGAGAGAGAGAAAGGAAGAGAAAGAACAGATGGAGAGAGGTCAGAGAGACCAGAGAGAGAGAACAGATAGAGAAAGACTATAAAGAGAACAGATAGAGAGAAGAGATAGATAGAGACCAGAAAGAGAGCGAGAAAGACAAGAGAGAGAGGGAGACCAGAGACAGAAAGACCAAAGAGAGAGATCAGAGAGAGAAAGACCAGAGAGAGAAAGAGACCAGAGAGAGACCAGAAAGAGGGACACCAGAGAGAGAGAGACCAGGAAGAGAGAGACCAGAGAGAGAGAGAGAACAGAGTGAGAGGCCAGACAGAGGGACCAGAGAGAGAGACCAGAGAGAGGGACCAGAGAGAGACCAGGGGAAGAGAGAACAGAGAAAGGTACCAGAAAGAGAGACACCAGAGAGAGAAAAACCAGAAAGAGAGAGGTCAGAGATAGAGAGAGAGACCAGAGGAAGAGAGAACAATGCGAGGGATCCAACCGCCAGCTTTAACGATCTATTCATTTTATTGCCATGTTACAACATTCATCAATTTGTCCTTTTACTACAACAACATCATCTACGGCATCATATAAGAGACTCAGATTCTGTTTATTTGCCATTTGCAGTAAAACCACGTTGGAATACATGCGCTAAAGTAAACCAGCCAGACCAGCACAGGAAGAAAGCAGGCTAAAAAAGAAAAAGTACAGAAAGAATAATCACCATGAAATCAAAGAAAAACTAAAGTGCTTTAACTGATAACAGTTTGTATTGTGGAAAGAACATTATCTTCTGCCAGAGGGAAGAAGCTGGAACATGGCTTGGAACAAGAGTCTGTTTCTACCTTTACACTCTTTGATTAGCGCTGAAACTGGTGTATAACACTTGAAATGCAGCAAAAGCATTGTAGTGAAAGGCTACCAAATGCTAACGGCTAACAGTAAACAGTGTGTTGCTATGGTAACCAGCACTCGCTCTTCAGAATGTGCTCAAACGAAGGCAAAAATCACTCAATTCCAGCTGTTTTTACCTCATATTTGATATTTTTTTGCGGTGCTGGGAGTCCTAGTCTCAGTCCTGGCGTTAAACCTCCCCTCGTCTGCTCAATAATGTGCTTTTAATCATACTTTTCTGGCCGGCTCCTCACAGGGGCAAGCGCTCCTTTGATGGGGATCTGCGATGCACCCAAACTCTTTGAAGTGTCCGGTGCAGAGCTGCAGGGGGGGCCGGCTGTGTGGGGTGGGGAGTTGTTGGGGGGGCTGTGGGGGCCGGGGGCTTTGATGTGCCCCTGGCTGTCGGAGCGGCTGCATGCTGCCGTGCACCCATCTGTCAGGAGCACAGCTGCACGGCTCCGGGGGCGCTCTGGACGCCGCTCTCACCTTGAAACACCCGCTCACCGTCCTGTAGGGGCTCTTAACACTTCTTCTATTGAATTATCCCTGTTGAATAATGCTTGATGAATAATCCCTGTTGAATAATCCCTGATGAATAATCCCTGTTGAATAATCCCTGTTGAATAATCCTTGATGAATAATCCCTGATGAATAATCCCTGTTGAATAATCCCTGATGAATAATCCCTGATGAATAATCCCTGATGAATAATCCCTGTTGAATAATCCCTGTTGAATAATCCCTGATGAATCATCCCTGATGAATGATCTCTGTTGAATAATCCCTGTTGAATAATCCCTGATGAATAATCCCTGATGAATCATCCCTGGTGAATGATCTCTGTTGAATGATCTCTGTTGAATAATCCCTGTTGAATAATCCCTGTTGAATAATCCCTGTTGAATAATCTCTGTTGAATAATCCCTGTTGAATAATCCCTGTTGAATAATCTCTGTTGAATAATCTCTGTTGAATAATCCCTGTTGAATAATCCCTGTTGAATGATCTCTGTTGAATAATCCCTGTTGAATAATCCCTGTTGAATAATCTCTGTTGAATAATCTCTGTTGAATAATCCCTGTTGAATAATCTCTGTTGAATAATCCCTGTTGAATGATCTCTGTTGAATAATCCCTGTTGAATAATCTCTGTTGAATAATCCCTGTTGAATAATCCCTGTTGAATAATCTCTGTTGAATAATCCCTGTTGAATAATCTCTGTTGAATAATCCCTGTTGAATAATCTCTGTTGAATAATCCCAGCAGGACTGAGAGCCTACACAAACTTCTTCTCTAACAAAGAGCACATAAACACATCAGTATTGACTTTAACACTGGATTATGTCAGTTTGTACAGCTCTATATCTTAGTTTTGGACTAAAATGAACTTCCCTAATCTGAGGAAACATAGATACGATTCAATTTGAGTTATTTAATTGCACAAATCAAAACTACTAAAGCTGGACTGTTCTTGTAGGGACTTTCTTTTGGCTGTTTTGCCGTAAAACCGGCAACGAAGACACAGGAAGTTTGAGGTTAGCCTCCTCCATGAGGCTGTCTGTGCTAACCACGAACCTGTAGATTTTCTCAAGAAAGTGGGGGCCAGTGGTCCGCTGTGATTGGTCACAATCTGGTCCATGTTGCGCGGACATTTTATCTTAAATAAACACACCAGTACCAACTTGCACTACTTTTTCTTCAAAAGGACGTATATCTCAATGCACTGCACGGATATGGATGGAATTTTCCCGTTGAATACAAAAATAAAGTGAGATAGTCCAGCTTTAACTAAAGCTGTAGATTTGCCAACACTGATCTGAGAATCAAACAGTTCAAACACAGGAAATGAAATTATGCAAACTGCTGTCAGACTGTACAATAAGTAACTATAAGTGACACATGCACTAGGACTGAAAAAACCCTGCACTTCTATTGCCACTCTTTCTTTTATTGCCACTTCTACCAATTCCAGATGTGACCTGAACGTTTCTCCACTGTAAAGTCTGTCTTATCTTATCTGAAGGGGCTGAGGACCATTAATGTTGATAAAGTGCATAAATAAAATCCACTGAATGTCACTTTATCTACTGATTATCTTGCCTTATATGCACATACTGTACCTTTGCACTATATATAGATAGATAGAGATTTATCAACGTATTCATATTGAAACATTTACAGCTAGCTAAGAAACATAGTAGCTTCTTATCTTTTCTAGTGTGTGTGCTCCCTGTGTGCTCTAATACTGTCCTGTATGTGCGCTGCAACATGGACAAGTCCCCACCGTGGGACGAATCAATGAGTCTAATCTCACCTTAAATGTCGTTGAATGTCGAGTGTCCTGGATCATCCTTCTATTTTGTTTTTTTTTTTAACCAAATTTGAGCAATTTTTGACTAATTTCTCACCACTTTTTGCAGAGTAGCAGGACTTTCCCCAAAGACATTGCCACAAAAACATCTATAATGTGTGTCTGTGTGTTATTGTGTTTGTGTGTGTCTGTGTGTGTGTGTGTGTGTGTGTGTTATTGTGTTTGTGTGTGTCTGTGTGTGTGTGTGTGTGTGTGTGTGTGTGTGTATGTGTGTGTGTGTGTGTGTGTTATTGTGTGTGTGTGTGTCTGTGTGTGTGTGTATGTGTGTGTGTGTTATCGTGTGTGTGTGTGTGTGTTATCGTGTGTGTTGTGTGTGTGTGTGTGTGTCTGTGTGTTGTGTGTGTGTGTGTGTCTGTGTGTGTGTGTTATTGTGTTTGTGTGTGTCTGTGTGTGTGTCTGTGTGTGTGTGTGTGTATGTGTGTGTGTGTGTGTGTGTGTTATTGTATGTGTGTGTGTCTGTGTGTGTGTGTATGTGTGTGTGTGTTATCGTGTGTGTGTGTGTGTGTTATCGTGTGTGTGTGTGTGTGTGTTATCGTGTGTGTAGCAGCCGCTCTGATGTGAACTGTTGCTGGTTTATCCTGAGGACGTTACATATGACATACTGTGTTTATGTCCCACAACATATCTGTGGTCTGCAAACAAACACATGACATACAGCTTCAGGACAGAGAGGGTTGTTTCTCTGTCTGTGGGAGCGGATCCTTCTCTCCTTTAAAACCTGGACTGGTTTAATTTCAGCCTGGTCTTATCCATCCGTTAACTCTGATCCATTATCATTTCCTACATGTACGTCTGAGTCTGATCCTAGTGGCTGCAGTTACATCAGTTGAGACCCCTCTGTCCAGTCAGAGAGCGGGGGAGGCGGGTGTTGTTGGGAGGTGTCTGTGACGTCAAGAGTTTGCGCTGAATTTGCTGGTTGTAGTTTGGCGGAGAATGCAATAGTAAAGTATTCTGTTCTGGTTTAGCTCCAAATATCAAGAAATTGAAGCCGGAGCAAGAGGAAAGTTTAGCAAATGTCATTGCTGCAAAGATGTTGTGGCTCTACTCCCCACGGGCTCTGTTAGTGTCAAAGGAGGTGGCTAAAGCTAGGCTAAATGCTAACGCTAGGTTTAAATGCTAAAGGCCTCGTTCACTCTGTCACATTACAAACGTCACGGTAAACTCAGATCCAATCGTTTCAATCTGCAAAAGGAGTTAGCCCTTCCCACCTGTTAACGGAGTCAATAAAGCAAATCCAGACCTTAGTATGAAATGAAATGAGTACAATGGTGTGGTAAGACCAGGCTAGGCTAGACCAGGCTAAATTAATATTATGGCTAGCAAATCTTTTACTCAGTGTATTTTCGTCGTTCCTTGTCGATTTTTAATTTAACTACTCTACTTTGCTCTACTTTTCTCTACTTTGCTCTACTATACTCTACTTTGCTCTACTATAGTCTACTTTGCTCTACTATACTCTACTTTGCTCTACTACACTCTACTTTGCTCTACTCTACTTTGCTCTACTCTGTGTGTGTCTACATGATTACTTTGAGCTCATTATGAATGTACGTATAGATAGAAAGTGAAGAATGGGATCATGGCTCATATGTGTCCAAACGGTGGATTCTCTGATCTGTTGACGCTAAAACCACAACTTAAAGTTCTTCCAGACGACTGCAGTTGACTTAGTTCTATACTCAAATAAATTAAATATGAATTGAAATTCAAACTGAAGAACTGGTCTCAAGGTGAGAGACGTGGACCTGTCAATCGATCTCATAAGAAACACAACTTGACGACAGAAGGACATTTGATTTTCTAATTTAATCGGTATTTTTTTTTTTTTAGAAGAATGAGTTGTTTGTGGAGTTTTTTCTGCCGCTGCCTTGAGAGGAGCCCGTGTATTGGAACTGTTAGATTTCAACACGGTTCAACCTTGGCTCAACTCTTCAGAAGGAGGCCGTCTCCGAGGCCGCCGTAACTGACACTTCAGAGATTTTCTCCTGTGCTCCGTCGAAGGCCTCTGGGTCGCGTCCCATTCGTCGTCTGTTCCTGGGTTCGAGTCCAGCCCCAGACACTGATTTTATTACTATTATTATTACTATCATTATTATCCTTACTATTATTGTTTTTTAATATGTTTTTTTTTTCAGTCTCAAGGTCCAGATATGTTTATAAAAAGACAGGACAGGAATATAAGCCCCATTTCCACCAGCCCAACTTAGCTCTACTCTACTCTACTCTACTCTACCCTACTCTACTCTACTCTACTCGGCTCTACTCTACTCTACTCTACTCTACTCTACTTGGCTCTACTCTACTCTACTTGGCTCTACTCTACTCTACTCTACTCTACTCTACTCTACTTGGCTCTACTCTACTTGGCTCTACTCTACTCTACTCTACTCTGTTCTGCTCTACTCTACTCTACTCTACTCTACTCTACTCTACTCTACTCTACTCTACTCTACTCTACTCTACACTACTCTAATCTACTTGGCTCTTCTCTACTCTACTCTACTTGGCTCTACTCTACTCAGCACTACTCTACTCTACTCTACTCAGCTCTACTCTACTCCACTCTACTCAGCTCTACTCTACTCTACTTGGCTCTACTCTACTCTACTCTACTCAGCTCTACTCTACTCTACTCAGCTCTAATCTACTCTACTCTACGCTTTTCTACTCTACTCTAGTCTTTACTCTACTTAGGTCTACTCTACATGGCTCTACTCTACTTTACTCGGCTCTACTTTACTCAAATCAAAGTTGACAAAAGTTTTAAAACAGTAAAAAGAAAACAATATGCCGTGACCAGTTCCTATTTTTCTTTTTTCATTCAACCCTCGACCAAAACCAGTTCGACCAAAACCAGTTCGACCAAAACCAGTTCAAATTCTGTGAACCCACTTCTGACACACATAATTCTGGACTCTGTGGTTCTCAGTAATATTTGCAAAGTGCTCGACTAAATATAGTGATGTCACGCTGACCTAAGTGTTTGTTTAATCTTCAATATAAGCCCTCTTTGTATGCGCTGCCAAGAAATATATTATGTATGCATGCTAATTAGCTAAGTGTTGGGCTCTTTTGATCCGGAGAAAATGTTTTTTTTCTTTTTTTTTCCGCCAACCGCCATCTGTCACATCCGCCCGCTTACAGGAAAAGTGCTCCGATAGTATTTGTGCAGTAAATTAACGTACTGTATGTT